AGCGGTTATTAAACTTTTCCTTCGTCGCACGTTATCACCACGCGTTCCATATTTTTTGCTATCAACAATGAAAGATGGCACAAACGAACAAAGTATATATTTTACGAAGAAATCGATTTTTCTTTAGGTGAGACATCACAACATTTACAATGAGATATTATATCAAATTTTGACGCAGTATACCTAATAAAAACGACGAAAATTTCCGTATATATTTAAAAAAATGAAAGATGTATTACAAGAGATCGTTTCCATGGAAATTTTAAACCAGATTATATATATATAGATGTTGCAGGCTTTTTATAAAATCAACCGTTTCATAAAGCATCGAATCTTTTAAATCGAATTTTTATAAAAAGGCTGGAACTACAAAGAGTTAAAAAAAAATATATATATATATGTAAGTATATAAATATATATGAAATATTGAATAACATTAGCGAACATTTAGTGAGAGCCCTAAATCGCACGCGACAAGATTGTCGGCGAAAAAGAAGAGATGAATATCAAATCGACAGCCAAATCTCGTAGGCATTTCATATATACATATATGTATACATATATGTATATAGCGTATAAAGCCAAGTAACGTATAAGGTCGATATTTTTCATTTGCCTTTATTTTATCATCAAAAAGATGTATTCCAAGGGGAGAACGCCAATCTCTGTGAGCATACTTCACAAATACAAGGTTGAGACGCAACTGGGTATAAAAGTAAAGTAAAAACAAAGAACAAGAGATATACAAGATATTTCAACCTTAAGCTTCTCAAGTAACACGTTTTCAGTAACTTGCTCTAAAGAAAAAAGAAAAAAAATTCTCTCACCTCATAAAAGAGGTTTTGTAAGAAAGAAATAGAAGAGGAAATGTATCGCGAACCAATTAAAGATAAAAATAATCCTTTCACGATACTTGTCCTTAGAAAACGATATTAATACACGCAAATGTAGCGAGATATAAAATATAGAGAGTTAAACGGCGTTAAACCGGTGTCTGTCACAATGACCGATATGAAACGATATCGAACGTGTTTACGGATATCTACAACCACATGCCGTACGATACCGACGACAGTCACTGACATAAAAGCCACCGAAAAATCTCTCGTCACGTATCCTGCTGCGGCCCGATATTGAAGAGCTAACGCTAACCGTAAAGAATTCTCGATGTTCCTTTGACTCGTGGTGGGTTTATGGGGCTGCGAGGCAGCCGGAATCGATTAAATATTAAATATCGACTGCCGGTTGCTCGTCGCGCATACATTAATAAATTTAAAATTACATATATCGACGTATGCGAGAAATTTCGCCAGCGCCTATAGAGCGTTCATCATTGATACGTGTTTTAGAATCTCGTTAATAATGAAGAGGCCGATAGAAATTGAGAACGATCTCATCGCTGCTCTAACGTAGCAATTTTACGATCGCGAATATTTCTTAGCTTTATATTATGTTATCTGTGTGGACAACCGTAATAACAGCGGTCTTTTGTGTTAAACCTTGTATATTAGAAATGAAAGCTCAAGGGTTAATATTAAATTTCTCTTGGTAGGATACATGCAGCTATTATATCTTGTGCTTATGTAATTATAGGATAATATAATTGATTATTAAATTATATAATAATAATGAATATTAAATTATATAAAAAAGAATATCAATAACCACAAAAAAATAGATGGGTTTTATATATAATAATTATTTCTGATAATTTTTGAATTCACAAAAGATATTTCTCTCACTTTATTTATATCTATCCGATCTATCTGTACTCTCTCATTAGACTAATTTGTAAAAAAAAAAACAATATTAAATTTGTCACGAGAAATAAAATTATCCTCTCGTTCTATTTCGCGCGCAACCTTGTTATCATGCTTCTAGCGCTCGCTATGCTACAGAACAATCGCGGTAGGTAAACTGTGGACGAAACTTGACAAGAGGAGACAAAAGGATGTCTATCGTACTTTTCTTCGAAAGCTTCGAGCTCTGGATCCTTTTCTCCTGGGTCTTGAGGTATCTACGAGCTCCCTCACAATTTCAGACTCTCCATCGACCAAAACTGAATTACCCAAACAAAATTTTCGTTGAAATCTCTAGAGTATTCACTCCAGGAGATGGTATTCAAAATACGTGAACCGTCTTTGTTGCGTGTTCGATAGAGGTATACGTGTTTTTTTAAAATAATATTATTAATTCAGCGTATATATGTATGTGTGTGTGTGTGTGTGTGTGTGTACATGGCGTTTTTTTATATACGCGTACTAATGTACTAAACAATTTTTTCTCTGATGATTAAATAAACGGTTAAAATTATTATAACAATTCGTTATGTTTTTATTCGATTGCATTGTGCATGAATTTATACAATGTGTGCATGTTACATGCATATTTCATTTACTGAAAAAATACGTATTTTTTTGAAAAAAGTTAATTGTATTATTTAAATATTTCTTTCTTACAAAATAGAATAAAATAAATTATGGAATTTTTTAAATATGGAAATTCTCGTGTATATGTATATAGAAGGAAAAAAAATTATAATATTAATCAATATAAATTTAAAGTAGTTCCAGTTTTTGATGTTGACGAAAATCGCAACATCTGATAGCGTTCAGAGTTATTCGTCGATTATTGTAATTGGCATCTAAATAATAAGAAAGATAAGAAGAATTTATTGACATGAAAAAGTCGCACTATATCAGTATAAATTTGAATTAAAAAAAAATTTCTTAAATTAAATAAATTATTGCAAAAATATAATATATACAATTATCTATTAATCCGTAAAATTTTCTATGTTTTTCAAATTGCTTCGTTTGTAGCATTTCTCTATCGAATTTCTCACCAACTTCCCATCATCTCCAGTTTATCTCCGTATTCGCGTAGTATCCGTGTAAATAGCGGTAATGTTAATCTCCGGTTAATGCTACGAGACTCCGGCGCTGGAAGATGTCGAACAGGAATTTATCGATTCCTCAGTTCGAGTCTGTTCAAATAATAACAAAGCGGAAATTCGCCCTTTAAACTATTCCGTCGTAACGAGAGCGGAACATGTGAAAGGGGAGAGAGGAAAATAGAAACGACGGCAAATAGAAAGGGAGAGAGGAGAAGATAGAAGTAGAGATATATGTATATATGTATATATGCATGTGTGTATATGTATAGAAAGAGAGAGAGAGAGAGAGAGAGAGAGAGAGAGAGCCGGTTATCACACAGGTAATTTATTGCGACCTTTCAGACAGCTCGCTAATGCACCTGAAGATACAAAATACTTGACCAGCTTCCTATACACGCGCTGTACATTGTTCAAATTCTAAGCGTACCGGAACGTAACAAAAGAGCCTACATTTTACAATCACACGTCATAGCTTAATGCTTTATAGAATATATAATTTTTTACAGAGCACATATACGTACATAATATGTTGCCAAAAGAGATCAATTAATAAATAACGATGTAATATTTTATAAATATTATAAAATAATTTTAATGAGATTAAATATTATGTATACAAAAAAAAAATTAAAGATTAAATAT